ATTTCCTTTAGTTTTAGAGTTAAAATATTGTGTTTTAGCAATAGTAATTAAAATGGTCAGGGCACAAGATAAAATATGACTTCATTAGAATGATTGTTTTGCTTATCTAATTGGATATGAGAATGAAAGGACAAACCTTCAAAGAAACCCATCCTACTATCTTGCACTGATGAAATAACCCACAGATAATTGTTTGAAAAAAGCTGTAATATTTTACAGTACAGTTCTAAATGGTGTGTAAATGCTCTTAAAATTTCCTCAAATATTTGATTATATTTTATAGTGTTTTATAATATCAAACTTTTGAAGTGTTGACTTTTGAGTATAATTTAATCTGGAAAATGGAAAGGTCAAATGGAGGTAATAAAGCTCCATGGAAATTTCTTAAGGTTTTAAAATACAGATATTTTTGAAAGTACCAAGTGATTTTGTTGATATTTAGCTGTGAATGCATTTAAACTCCATCTACAAGGTGTTTCCTTCTTTTTTTTAAAATTGAGGTATGATTACATATGGTAAAATGCACAGATCTTAAATTTACAGTTTAAAGTGTTTTAATGAATGTATAAATTTATGTCACCAGCATCACAGTTGAAATAGAGAATATTACAAGGCATTTCTTTTAATTTAGGCAAATGTCATAGTGACTGACTGGTATGGGACACATGGAGATGACCCATACACTCTACAATACAGAGGGTGTGGAAAAGAGGGAAAATACATCCATTTCACACCTAACTTCCTACTGAATGATAACTTAACAGCTGGCTATGGATCACGAGGTAAGTGTAGCCAATCAAAAAATGGCCGTTGGATAGTACTATTTACAACATTCTGTGCTTGCTGCTGAAAGAGATGAAGAACACCTGAAACCTTCAAAGACTTACCATTTGAATGGGGAGATAGGCCACATGTCCATGCAAAAGTGAGTGAAAAAGTGAGCCAGAAAGAGTTAAGTGCTGTAACAGGAGTGCTGTAAGAATTCAGTGAAGTAGAGACCATTTAGAGCCAAGGGTGATTGGAAAAGGCCTCACCAAGGAAAGGGTCTAAAGACTTACCATTTGAATGGGGAGATAGGCCACATGTCCATGCAAAAGTGAGTGAAAAAGTGAGCCAGAAAGAGTTAAATGCTGTAACAGGAGTGCTGTAAGAATTCGGTGAAGTAGAGACCATTTAGAGCCAAGGGTGATTGGAAAAGGCCTCACCAAGGAAAGGGTCTTCAAGATTGAGCATCATTTTGCTGAATGGAAAAAAAGGAAGAGAATACTGGGGAAAATATGAATAAAATTGTGGCAGCATAAGAATCCAAGGCACGTTTGAGAGATGAGGGGCAATAGATCCTACTAACAGTGCAGAGACTGTGGGTAGTGGGAGAAAATGCTGAAATGCATAGAGGGCCAGGCGGTGGACAGCCTCAAATTCCCAAATACCAAGTCACCACTGAAGATTTATAAGCACAGGAGTGATATCATCAAAGCAGAGTTTTAAGAAGATTAATCTGGCTGTGTGGATAATCTGCCTCCCTCAGATCAATGAGGGAGAAACTGGATATCAGGAGAATAACTGGGAGAAGTCCAGGTATGAGGCCATAATCGTGAATAGGAGTGGAGGGTGAGATGGGAAGGACAGGAAAGATGGTCATAAGAATAATGGGGATTTCTACGTGACAGGTGCAGTGCTGTTTGCCTTACAAATGTTACCTTACTTAATTCTAACAACTCTCAATGATGAGAAACATTCCAGCATTAAAGAGGTCTAAACTGCTACAGAGTAAAAGACAAGATGTGTGTATAGATGGCATTGAGAAGGTGCCAGGTTTTTGTCAGAAATAGAAGGGACCAGTTTAAAGTGAAACTCATAAGTCTGGATTTAGGCAGGACGGCGGTGAGGAGCAGTGAACTATCCTGGTGGAAAGTTTCAACCTGTGGTTGGATATTGATGGCAGGAGTTTGGGAGAGAAGCCAGGGTCACAGTCCTGGAGACTGGCATTTAGTGGATGAGATGTGAGGGCGGGCTAGTGAGAACAGATCAGCAGGTCAAGGGCTAACTATCCCAATCTTAATTTTTTGAATTTGATTTAACATACAGTAGTGCCTTTCAAATGATGTTTTAATTTTTACCCAGGTTAAATCTAAACAGATTCTATCATCCTCTGTATAGTTAGCAGGACATGGAGGGACACATTCTGTAAAACATACTTTATAAAACACCTTATAAAACGTTATAAAAACTTTTTTTCCTGGTAACCGTGTGGTGCCAGTAATCTCTGCACAAACACATAACTTCATCAGCACTTCTAAATTCCATGAGTAGGTACAAACTTTTCCTTAATATTTTCAGCTTGGACTGTTCCCCTCCCTTCCTTTGTTTCAAGTCTGAAAATTGCACAATATGCCACAGCCTGAGTCAACTCAGCAAATACTTCTTGGGTTCCCAGAGCTTGAAATAATTCAGAAAAAAGAAATGTGTGCATTGGGAGGGGAATTAATCCAGAAAGCTTCTATGAGGAAGTTCAGTTTTGTTCTGAACGTTGAAGGAAATGCAAGATTTAAAGAGGTAGAGATAAACTTACAAAGGATTCGATGCTGAAAATAGGGGTTTCCATGAGCTAAGAGTTGGAAATAAACATAAGGATGGAGAACTGGGGGTAAAATAAAAAAGAAAGGACCATCTAGGCTGGAGAGGAGGTTCTATGATATTCCTTTTTGCTTCCTCCCTCCCTGGCCCCAGGGGCTCAATCATTGCTCCAGATAAGAGAATTGCCTATAAGAGCAGGCATGCTTCATTAGCACAGACTGAAGATTAAGAAAGCTTTATTTGCTTGTCCAAATATGCTTCTTTCCCTTTCCCCATACTCTGAACTCTGCCAAGCTAAGTAGAAACCTGTTAGGCAGCTTCACTGGGGAAATGAAGGATGTGGGACTCCTCACCAGCTTCAAATATGTGTGCAACAAGTAAATCACTGGATTGCATTTATAGGACCCAACGTGTTTTCGTATTGCCTTTTTTATGATGGTAGGAGGTGGAGTAGGAGGAGATGGGAATGGGGTGGGGGAAAGAAAAGTGGGAGAGAAATTTGGACTTCAGCTCATAGGATTAAGTGTTTATAGTCGAGATGTTACATCTTAACTGATTAGGGAGGCCCATTGTTGAGATCTTAGTAGCTCAAAAGCAAAAGTTCTCTCTTCCACAGGCAGAGTGTTTGTCCATGAATGGGCCCATCTTCGCTGGGGTGTGTTTGATGAATATAACAATGACAAACCTTTGTACATAAATGGGCGAAATGAAATTAAAGTAACAAGGTTAGTACTTTTTCTCGTGTTTAAAATTCATTATTTATTTGACTCTATAATAGCAGATAAACTTAATTGACAAGGAAGAGATCCCTTTCTTTTTCAGTTTTTCAGTTTTATTGCATTTTTTAAAAATTGGTAAATATTTATGTGGCTTAAATATCAAAACAATATAATAATTTAAACTCTCAGCTGTCTCGCTCCCACCACTGTCTTCACTCTGTCCCCTCTCATCCCTTCCAGGTAACTATTTTGATTAACTTTGTTGTTTTTTTCAGCATTTCTTCAAGCAAATTTAAATAAATATGAATATGTATTTTTCACCTTTTTTTGTAATTGCATAGTGTTCCATTGTGTGAATGTACCATAATTTATTGAACCAGTTGCCCCTTGCTAGACACAGGTTGTTCCCAATCTTTTGTTATAATACTGCAGGTCATAATGTTACAAATATATCATGTCTCATGTATGTAGGAAGATATATATATAATTCTTCCAAGAATTACTGGGTCAAAGAGTAACTGTAATTGTGGTGGATATTGACTTGACTTCTCTCTTGAAAGTGACATTGTTTTTCACTGCCATCGACAATGTTTGAGATGATTGCTTATTTAGGAAGGAATCTTTTAAAATATCATTGCTTTTTTAGGAAGGAATCTTTTAAAATATCATCATTACATGTTCATTCTCTTCTTTCCCTGATGTCGATTGCTTATTTAGGAAGGAATCTTTTAAAATATCATCATTACATGTTCATTCTCTTCTTTCCCTGATGTCCAGTGGAAATGAGCTCAAAGAGCACTGGCTCAGGATATTGCCATTCAGACCCTTCCTAGGCCTCCCAAAGTTCATCTGGATTTCCTGGTATCTTTTGCTTTGATGCTATTTAGTTGTTAAAACCCTTAGCAATATAGAACCCCTTCATTAAGATCAAATGCTTTAAAATAAAATGGAGTACATTTTTAAATTAATGAAATTTCTTGAGAGCAATTGTAAAAATGTTTTATGTGTATCTAGCAAGTTACAATTCTTAAAACAAATTATTACACAAGCTAGTCAAAAAGAAACATGAGTATTTCTAAAATAGACCCAATTCCTAAACTCTCGCTGTATTTTTAGGTGTTCATCTGACATTGCAGGTGTTTTTGTGTGTGAAAAGGGCCTTTGCCCCCAAGAAAACTGTTTTATTAGTAAGCTTTTCAAAGAAGGATGCACGTTTATCTACAATAGTACTCAAAAGGCAACTGCATCGATAATGTTCATGCAAAGTTTATCTTCTGTAAGTATGTCCTTGGAAAAACAAACTCCTACAGGATTCCATCTCTTCTCAAGATAGACTGATATATTTTAAGTAATTAAACATATTCACTACACTTTAGAGTTTGGGGGAACCTTAGAGTCATTTAGAAAAGTAATTTGCTTTCTGGGGAAGGTGATTTAACAAGGGGACTCTGGAGGCTACAAAATAAATTGCTCATGCGGTTGTGTTCCTGTGTCCTTTCATAGGAAAGTGAATTGCGCTCATGAAAGTGATATAACAAATGACAATATTTCACTCATTTGAGGTAGCATACCACTCTATATTTTAATTGCACTTCCCAATTCTCTTTCCCTTGTTTTGCATAGTCTAGAACTTTTTTAAAAAGTGAGGTATTACTAGGAGAAGTGAACTGACCCTCAGCTTTGCAGGTTCAGAAACCCAGTGTTGCCAGTATTCCACACTGACTAGCTGACAAGAGACTAGTGTGTAAATTCAGAACACCATTTTAAAAATTATTGTTTAAAGACTACTCTAACTGCCATGAAAATCTCATACCTGCATCCTCTGGCCAGTTCATTTTCTCTCTGGAGGAAGCAGCATGGAACAGCCAAATTCCCACCAAAAGCCTGCTCTGGTTGCATGAAATCAGAAAGCCAGGAGTTAGGTTATTCATAAGTTCAGTGACCTCAGCCTTTTTGACCTGATATATCTATCCAATTTCATAAAAATCTGAAAGTCACATCTACGGGTCCTCTCCCTACAGGGCTTGAAGCACTGTGGGCATGCGCCTCTGTGGAGTTTTCTCTTTGTTTCCAAAGCTGACCAATGGCCCTTAGATTGACACATTCCTTCTTTATTTTTTAGATAATTTTTTTCCTTCAGTCTCTCTTTAGTCTGGTTTTAGTCAAGGCTAGGAGTCACTTTGTAACTTTAAGGCAATTTTTCATATTTCTTTTTCCATCCATTATGTTCTTAATTTATAGCTTTACTATCTGAAGCTAACCTAATTCCATGAATTTGATCCACTTTATGAGTGACTAGGTGCTATCTTTGTGATCCTTTGAAAGACCTACTCGTAAATATTCAGTCAGAAAAGATTCACAGGGGCCGGCCCGTGGCTCACTCGGGAGAGTGCGGTGCTAGTAACACCAAGGCCGCGGGTTCGGATCCCATATAGGGATGGCTGGTTCGCTCACTGGCTGAGCGTGGTGCTGACAACACCAAGGCAAGGGTTAAGATCCCCTTACCAGTCATCTTTTAAAAAAAAAAGAAAAGATTCACAATCCTCTAATCATAGTCATGAAATATAGGCCGAAGAACTAAACACACAAAACCAAACCATGCCCTGCTCCTGTCTCCCCACCCTACTGAGAAACTCATGTCCTTAAACAGTTAACTTTCAAAGCTTCAGCTTCCTCTTCTATGACATTAGAGATGTTAGTAGAGAGTGAGTCTACAAGGTTTCTTCTAGCTCTGCGTTGGCATGGCTCTGTTAGCAGTAAGTATGAACTCTTTGTGGGAACATAGCCACTGGGAATACATGGTGACTCATTACTTTGCAATGCAAACCAAATATTAGGTTTACTATCATTAAATGAATTATGTCAATTTTCAAATGGGGGAGAATCAGGAAGTACATTTAAGTTGTTTTTCCCTTTATCTTATTCTTACAGATACCAGTATTTGAGCTAGATAAAATTATGTTGACTGATCAATAAATAAAGGTGCAGTGGGCATTAACTATGATCCAAGGAATAGGCTGAGGTGTTTTCTTAGCACAATATCATGAAAGGAAGGAGGGAGATTGTTTTGTTTTTTAAGACTAAGATATATATACATGGTCTGCTCTCTGTTAGCCAAGCGCAAATAAACTTTTATAGAGATTGCTCTCAGTATCACAAAGGTGCTAGTGTTTCAAGCAAAGGATGACAAGGTTTATTTGTAAACGATTCTTCACTCTTGAAGAAAAGAAGTACATCACTGTAGCACTTCTGATTTTCTTCCTTTTGGCTCTCCTTTTCTTTTATTTATAGTTGTTTGAGAATAAAAAGTACATCTGGGATGGAAGGAGTGCTTTTCAATCTCTAATAGATCTTCTTCTTTTTCCAGGTAGTTGAATTCTGTAATGCAAGTACCCACAACCAAGAAGCTCCAAACCTACAGAACCAAATGTGCAGCCTCAGAAGTGTGTGGGATGTAATCACAGACTCTGCTGACTTTAACCACAGCTTTCCCATGAACGGGACTGAGCTTCCCCCTCTTCCCACATTCTTCCTTGTACAAGCTGGTGACAAAGTGGTCTGTTTAGTGCTGGATGTGTCCAGCAAGATGGTAGAGGTAATGTTTTGAACCAAAATTATTGTAAACCATTTATCACTTTTTTCTACCAGTTTTTAATAGTTTTTTATTTTCAGGGGGAAAGGTAGAAGCTGGGGGGAGGCAAAAGGTTTAGAATAGTCAAAGACATCTTATTTTGTTGGGGATGGAACAAATTCAGAATGTGGCCCAGGAATTGAGATAAAGCAGATAAAAAAAAAAATCTACAGATAATTCCCAACTCTTATTTTTGCTAAAAATTGCAACTTTTCCCAAGACCCTCTTTCAAAAGTCTGTGAAAAAAGCTCCTGTTTGACCACATTCCACTCACTGATAAACATCCTTGGTTGGGGCTGTAGACTGTGGCTTTGCAGTGATCATGCATATCCATTATATGTATATTTTCCATGTCATTGTGTACAGAAGACCTTACCTCAGTAGTCTAGC